TGTCCTTGCCCCCAGCTATCTCTCCTTTTAAGGAAATAGTTATATTACAGATGAATGCCTACAGTGGTTAATAGCTGCTGATTCACATTGTGCTGACAAAGAATGAACAAGCACTTTAGTGTGCATGCTCATTGCTTCATCTTCAAAAAGACTGCAAAAGGAAAAAGAGATAAAAGCACAAAAAGCAAGCTTTGCTGCCCAAGAACAATGCTTTCTCCTTTAGGAAGAAAGTATATTTAATCTTCAGTTATTAGCAGAGTCACAATTCTAAATGGTTTTCTTTATTAGTCCAACACATGGAAGATATTATTCACAGCTTAATTACCTATATGAGAGTTTAAAAAATTACAGTTTGTATTTTTGTAGCATAATTTCAAACACTGCATTTGCACTCCTGTCAAGTCACAAGCGAGTATTAAAAACAATCACAGAAGTCTCACAAGCCTTAAGTCTGTGCTAAGAGTCTTAATTTGTTTTCCAGGTTTCAATACTGAATACACACTTTTTTCTTCAGTATTTGCAAAATATGAGAAACTGGGACATGGGAAGGAGAGCATGGGGGATCCTCAGAATGCCAGTAGTAACAAGCCTCCAGAAGCCATGATTTTAAAAGGAAACAAGAGTGATACCATGTAACCATGGACATTTTCCAAAGAACAGAAGTTTGAAAAGCTTCCCCCAGAGGATGACACAAAATCCGTATCAAAGCCAAACAAATCCCAAACTACTCTGCACTTGCCCATTATTTTGGATGACGCTAATTGTTTAATTTTTGGATCAGGGATGAAAATCATGATGTGGGATTTGGTTTGTTTCACTGCTAAAAAATGAAATAGGTCTGAAGGGATTTCAGAGACTCCTCTGAAAATTCCATCACTTACAGCCCTTCAGTTGTGCTGGCATTCACAGAGAATTGCTCTGGAAAGATAACAATGCACAGACTGTCTAACGAACTTTAAAAAACCCCCAAAGCACCTTTCAACAACAAAAATAACCACAAACACAACACCCCAAAAATACAAGTAAAAAATGCTTTTATTTTTTCTTAAATAAGAACTAGGTTAGATAATATAATATTCACTTAGGATAAGTGAAGCATGCACAATTAAACTCTACTGTCAACTCCTGCCTTTGCTTAAAGGACAAACACCTTTGTATTCAGAGCTACATATTCCACTCATTGCTACAGTTACACAAACCACATCATTAACTTCATCTGAATGACTACCACAATCCATTTACATGTATGTATGTCAAAATATGTATGATGAACACTAAATTAACCATTTAATATACTTAGAAGTACACAAGAAACAAGATGAAAGGACTGTGAAACAGCTCTTTCCAAGTCAAAGAAAATACTGGTTGGAAATGGTATTTAGAATCTCATTTCTGGCATTATCTGTTTAACTTGGATTTGTTTCCACAACTGTTCTTCACAGTATGTGAAACTGAAAGAAACCTGCAAATGTTTTAGACATATATCAGAAAGAACTTCAGAAGCATTTCTATGAAAACAGAACAGCACAGGTTTATCAGAACTAACAATATAAAATAATAAAACTTAAAAAAAAAATATATATGCACTAGACCAGACTTTAGATAATAAAGGTCTAGCAAATTTCTCCAACAAATTACATCAAACTGTCTCAGTCTTCCCAGCCTGAAACTGTAGACTATTTCCTATCTGACATATGATGTCAAAAGACACAATCTTACTAGCTGACCTGTAAATAAGCATTTTTGGGATGCTCCCACATGAAATACTGATCTCCAGCTCTGGGGACCCTGACATCAGAGTGACATGGATCTTCTGGAATGAGTCTAGAGAAGAGCACAGACATGCTCTGAGGGCTGGAATCCCTCTGTTCTGGGGACAGGCTGGGAGAGCTGGGGGTGTCCAGCCTGGAGAAGGCTGCAGGGAGACCTCAGAGCCCCTGCCAGAGCCTAAAGTGGCTCCAGGAGAGCTGGAGAGGGACTCTGGATAAGGGCCTGGACTGGCAGGACAAGGAGGAACAGCCTCAAATCAAAGAAAGCAGGCTTAGCTATTAAAACAATTCTGCCCTGTGAGGGTGGGCAGGCCCGGGCACAGCCGCCCAGAGGAGCTGTGGCTGCCCCATCCCTGAAGTGTCCAAGGCCAGGCTGGACAGGGCTTGGATCAGCCTGGGCTAGTGGGAGGTGTCCCTGCTCATGGCAGGGGGTGGAAATGGATGATCTTTAGGGTCCCTTCCAATGCAAAGCACTCCAGGATTCTGAGATTTGATGACCTTAAAAGTAGCATGAACAGGGCAAGCAAGTGCCATATATTTACTTATCACAGTGTTTGTCAGTGGGCCAGCACTGGAATCCAAACACCTACAAACATTATGTTAACAGTTCAAATAAAGTCATTCACAAACAAAGGATCTCAACACAATTTTAAAAATTAATTGAATATTCTTTAAGACACAGGCTCTCATTTATAGACATTTAGTTACTGACACCCTAGGCTACACCTCTCTCACTCTCCAAAGTATGTTTAATGATTAAACTCAATTTATTTGTATTTCACCAATGCTTCTAAAGTCAATTTACCCTTCACAGCACACTTTCCCCTTTTTAAAACTTCAGTAGCTGATCGGTCACTTGAGCCTTCCTCTGACCTTCTAACTCACTTTTACACCAAATACTACATTTTCCCTTCATACTTTACAACAACAAAACTTTCTTCCACCCTTAAGAGTGCCTTAACCAAAAAACATTGCATACTGCTGGAAACAGAGTGACTTGTGGTGCAGCCTTTGATTGTTACAGCAAAGTAAGCCTTGCCATCACTTTTAGTCCCCTCTCCAGACTGCTTAGCTCTGAATTAGAGGAGGGGGCAGGGAAACCTGCAGGGGGATCCTCACACATCATCCCCACTGAATCAATCCCCACAACTCAGCGATTGGTTCAGCAGTTAATTTTGGCTCACTCAATGTTTTGTTCCTACCCACACTTGCATCAACTAACACACTACCTCTGCTTTGACTGAGGACTGCATACAAACAGGACTCACATTATGAATGCCACAGGGTTTTCTCCTGCTCCCCAAAACCTCCCCATGAACCTTTCAGTGGTCAAATTCTACAGGACAATTAAAATGCCAGCATTCAGACACATGAAACATGAACTCTCTGACTGATCTACCACTCTTCTCTGTCCCCACACCAGCCTGCCCAGGGCAGGGAGAAAGACAGGACTGTGGTTAAAGGAAAATCCATGAAGTGTTTATAGAAACAGGCTGGTTATCAAACGTGGAAGGTGGGGATGACAATCACAAGGAGACTTGTTGAGCTATGTTCCCCTGAACCACAGAGCAGAGTTATTTGGGACTTACAGAACTCATGTGCAAAGACCTGTCTATTCTACACCTATCAAGAGTGCCCACCTGACCCAAAGGATCAGGTGAAGGCTATGGGTTTTAATACTAGACCATTTCTTCAGGTGAAGGGTATGGGTTTTAATATTAGACCATTTCTATCACAAGAAATTTCTTAGCATTCAAAATATCCTTTGTATAAGAATATTAGAACCTATTAAAAGCAATTAAACATTTAGCACATTAAGATCTTACACATTTTTACACATAAACTCAAGGATACAGTTGATGGAAGCTAAAGCTGTACTTCAGCATTTTAGTTAAAACCAGGAGTGTGCTAGTAAAACAAACTTCCCAAACATCCCATTTATTATGGTTGTGTTCACATCACAAGATGAGCCCAGACAACAAGAGTAGGCTCTTTTTTGAAGTAAATCAGAAAACACACTCTAGAAGTTCTCCAGAATTTCAAATACTAAGGGATTTAACTCTTTTTTTTCAGATTTACTAAGCCAGGTCAAAGGGAACACTTCTGAAAAACAGTGGGTACTCAGTTTTCAGTGACAACTTTCTCTCTGCAGATTTGCCTGTTTTGGGCCTCACTGCTTGCTAAGACACATACAGGCTTATTCACTTGAGTTAGGGCATCCAAAAGTAATTATGCTATTTAAGTAATCTTGAAAGTTAAACTTATATTACAAACAGTATTTTGTGATCTACCTCAGATGGTTTAATTCAGACTCATCATGTTGAGAGGAATATAGTCCTTTCTTTTCTTACTGTATGGTGTAATACCTGAGGTTAAAGAACTGACTCCATATGCTAGAGCATTCTGAGTGCCGCATCACCTTCACTTACAGTAAATTGAAATGACTCCATTACTGCAGCCAGATGTTTTTCACACAAACTGCCTTCCTCAAGTGCCTCAAAATCACTGTCGTCAAAATTTACTCCACGTACAGTTATCTTTGCTGCTACAACACTTTCTCCCTCCTTTTCTAGTTCAATAAGGATTTGGAAGAGCGAGTTGTGGATGATTTTAGGATTACTGTCAGGCTAAAAGGGGTAACTGTTGTTTTGCGATTACTACATTTCCACCAAGCCCCAAAGCACGCCGAGGATCTCAGCGCACAGAACAGGACGGACAGGATTTGTATTTCGTTGTTTACAATCTAACGCAGACCTTCCCCGGCTCCCCCCAAAGGGAAACACCAGCTCTAGGGCAGAGCGGGGATCCCGCCGATCTCCCAGCGGGGCTGAGCCGCTCCTTTCGCACAGCACCGAAAGGACAGCGCGGCGTGGGGCACTCGGTCAGCGGGGCACAAGGGCACCCTGCGAGCCGGGGGAGGCATCGAGCAAGGAGCGGGCAAGGGGGCCAACACCCTCAGCAAGGCACCGAGCAAGGAGCGGGCTGGGGGGAAAGGGGAAATACCTTCAGCAAGGCACTACCAAGGGAAAGCCGCCGCCGGTGCCCGGCGCTGACGAAGCGCCTCCGCCACCGCCCCGGCGCCCCCGCGGGCGGGACCCCCTGAACGGCCGGCCCGCACCGGGAAAAGGCCGCGCCACCGGCACCACCCCTGTGAACGCGCCGCGACCCCCGCCTCGCCGCGCCCTCCGCCCGAAGGGTGCAGCCTTAGCACCCCCGCCGCCAACCCTTCACCGCGCACGCTCCAGCCGGCGGCCCGTGCGTTGCGGTTCGGCTTTACCTCGGTGCTCGGTGCCCGCCGCCGCCTCACACCGTCCGCTCTCGCCCCCCGCGCGCCGCCCGGGCCCCGCCGCTCCCGGCTCCGGCTGCGGCCCGACTGCGGCGCGCGCCGTCAGGTGACTGCCCGCAGCACCGCCCGCCCCCCCGCGCGCACGCCCCGCGCCCCCATTGGACGCGGCGCTCGCTGCCGACGCGCAGCCGCCCACACCGCCGCGCATGCGCAGCTCCGCCGGCGTACGGCGAGGCTGCAGAGCGCCGGGACATGGCGCCCGCCGGGCCCTGGCCTGCCTGCCTTGCCTTGCCCTGCCCTGCCCTGCCCTGCCCTGCCCTGCCCTGCCCTGCCTTGCCCTGCCCTGCCCTGCCTTGCCCTGCCTTGCCCTGCCTTGCCCTGCCTCCTTCCTTCATTACCTCCTTGCCCTGCCCTGCCTCGCCCTGCCTCGCCTTGCCTCGCCTTGCCTCGCCTTGCCTCGCCTTGCCTCCTTGCCCTGCCTCCTTCCCTCCCTTGCCCTGCCCTGCCCTGCCTACTTCATTCCCTCCCTGCCCTGCCTTGCCTTACCTCCCGTCCCTCCCTGCCCTGCCCTGCCCCCTGCCCTCCCTGCCTCCATTCCCCCCTTCCCTGCCTCCTTCCCTCCCTCTCTTCCTCCTGCCTTGCTTCCCTTCCCTTCCCTTCCCTTCCCTTCCCAATTCCCCGTACCTGTTTATCCAAGCGCACCAGGGAAGGCAGCCTCCTCCAGGAGCTCCTGAATAAAACGTTCATGATAGCACTGCTAATGGGAATTTCATTGTTAGGATATTTTAACCCAGTTTAACAACTCAGTGTGCCTTTGAATGAATCTTCTTTAATGTCTCATAGAGTGACACGCTGTATTTAAGTGTCACATCAGCTGTTTTTACAGTAGGCTTTCAGTTTTGATAGAGGCTAATATAGATTTTCCTTCAATGTCTGTTTGCTAATGGCCTTTCACCTTGTTAAGAAGGCAGAATTTAATTACTTGTATTTATTAGTCGGTCAATGTATTCACCAGTACAACGAGCTGCATTACAAAATAACTCAAGCAATTAGTTGGAATTTATATTTAAGAGCAGCTATTAGGTAATGATATCCAAAAATTAGGTAATGATATCCAAAAAGTAGCATTTGTCTTGAGGTTTGGGTACTAACAATACCCGGGGTACTCTGAATCAAAGTTTCTATGCCTGCTTTCTATGTTTTCTATGACTTGTCATGCTCTTACACCTGTTGGGAATTCCTAATCCCCTGGTACTCACACGTGAAGAGGGGAATAAAGACAACTGTTTAGATGGTAAAAACTGAGTTCCAGAAGTATGAGATGTTCACAGTGTTTAAGCATAAAATTTAAAATACCTATTACTAGACTGAAAGTTGGGGTTTTTCAGGTTTTTTGGGTCTTCCACAAGGATTTTTTTGGGGAAGAGAGGGAAACAGAAGAGGGAAGAAATTAATAAAAACAAAAGGAGCTCTTACTTTGGTTGAAAGATTGACTACAAAATCATGGACCGCACCCACCAAGAAGGGATCTTCATCTCCTGTTCTGGATCTTAGGGATGATGCAATTCCTACTTCCCACACAATAGGGAGAGAGGTTACAGTGTAATAGCTTGGTTCTCGCTCACAGTCAGACTGAAGATCTGCATAAGTTTTCTGCATTGAAATCAGACACAACTAGAAGAGGAAAAATAAAAAAAAAAAAAACCCAGTCCATTTTTTTTTTCCTAAAATGAAGAAGTAACACCAATAAAAAGGAGATCTGGGAATCTAAGCTAAAAATCAAGGACATACATCCTCCTGCAGATGAATGACAAATGCTCTAAGCATTTAAAACAATATAAAAACTCAGGTGACAAATGCTCACAAAGTTAGCGTGCATGACAACCAATAATAACAATATCACCAGAAGAAAGAAAGGGAAAATGTCCCTTTTTTTGGAAATAGATTTATTTTTCTGATACATTGGTGGCTTTAAGGGGACTTTAAGTCCTGTTCTGTCAAAAGTTGTTAGTTCCTTATGAAGCCTGGCTGCAGCTGTCTTTGTGCTGTTTTCTGGCGCTCTGAAAGCTCCAGCCTCAGCTCCCACCAGTTTGTAACTCGATTTATTGAGCTCTGGCTGCCCTGTGGATTGACACTGGTCCAGAGAGATGAAAGTTCTCTAATCTGCAGGTCAGCTGTGTGGACTGCAGGGCACAGGTTATACTGTGGAATACTTAGTCTTTAATACATCTTTAATATTCAGGATGTGTTCTCTTCTGCCTGTGTCCCCTCTCTTCATCCTTTCTATGCTGAAGCTGGTTTCCTGCCTCAGAAACTTGACCAATAAATTCTCCAGAGGTAAATTGTACAAATCCCAAGTGTTGGGAAGGACGAAAGTTTGACAAGAAAGTCTCACAGATATGTATGCTTGGCAGAAAGATTTTTGAATGTAGAAACTGAGAATGAAATGGAGATGGAAGCAAGTTTTGATATAGAAGAAAAGAATTGCTGAGCCAGTCTTACTGGATAACCAAGGAGGCAAAGGGTATGTTAGTTAGAAGGGGTTTTTATGACTTACAGCAAAGGATAAACCCACCTCAAACAAGAAGATGCTTTTACCAAGCAGGAAGATAGCACAGGAAAACAAGTCAGCCAAGGCTGCAAGTAGAAAAAAGGTCTCAGAATTTTCCACTGCAAGAAAACTGAAACAGAACTTCTAGCTTAAACTGTAATGTACTAACTTTTAGTGACTGGAGAATAGTAACATGAATATGGTAATTATAGTAGTTATGATAGGCTATAGGTAAAAGTTAAGGTATAGATTGGTTCTTCTGTATTAAGATGCTCAGCAAAGAAAAGTATATAATGCATTGTAACCAAAACCAAAGGGTCTCCAGGCCTGCCTGCAGCTGGAGCTGACAGCTGTAGGCACAGGCTCTGTCACCCACGACCCTGGACTGCTGTAATGTATTGGATACAATAAACTGCATTTTGGAGAGTGGCCTGAAGTCCTGCATCCCTCATTCAGGCTCTTACACCAAGCCTAAAGGTGAGATTTCATCTCACCTATCTTTAGTCATCTAAAATTTAGCTGTCTGGTCTAAGCAACTCATCTAGGGTCCTGTGCAGTTGAGGGAACGTGATAGGCATCTCCATGGGGTAATTGTTCCCTTTCTGTGGCTGGTGTCTGACATGGGGGTGATGAAACTCCTTCTGGAGATGCCTGTCCCATGCTTTTGTGGTGGGAATGTGAATAACTGGGTTAGGCTAGAGACAGAACTCGTGGATTAAACCCATGGCCACGGAGTTCTGCAGGATGCTGCCATTAGAATCCTTCACAGCAAAAGTGCTGGGGAGTCATCAGGAACAATTCATGTTGAAGGCTCATCCTGTAGGTTCACAAGGCAGAGGCTGATGACCCTGCTGTGCACATGGCCACATCAAATATGACTTCTGTAGGCATCATATAAAGGATTTGTCAATTTTACATTCCAGTAAATGAAAGCCAAACCACTCCTTCCTGTGAACTTGCAAACACAAAAGCTGTTTTCTAATCTACATTTAGATAACATTTTCTAACTGTAAATTGAGCTATCAAGGGGCTACTGTGGCATGTATCTAAAGACCTCAGGGCTGTGTCAATATGTATGAGCTGAAAAACTGACTCTTATTTTAAAATGGTTTTTGAAGCCTTTGAACACATTATTTTAGAATTTATTTCCATACCGCCTTCTGCTGTATGTGTGTAATGCTCTTCTAATCCTTGGGAACACACATGCTTATTTTTTTGTGGTTTCTGGCTTACAAAAGTCCTTTGTTTGTCCTGGGAAAGCATGGTGTTAATCATAGGAAAATATTTTTACATTCCCTCTTTACAAAAAATGAGAAAGAAATGCTTTCTATCTAGAAGTAAATCCTATTCTAGTAAACCATCTTTAAAAATGTAATTGTAAGTGTAATTCTCTTTATCCTACACCTAATATGGTTCAGATTCACATCAAAACTTCTTAAAATGAAAACTGGTGTCTTGGTTAAGTCTGGTTTGTTTCCTTTTCTTTTTATTTTTTTTTCCCAGACATAATTTTTTAAACCACCATCCTTAAATTAAGCAGTAACATTTCAATGGGAAAAAAGGGACTTCTTTAATAGATTGAGAATTATTTTTGATTCTGTGAGAAGGGATATAAACCATGTGTAAAGAATGGCAAAAAGGTGGGACACAAGCTGGCTAGCTGCAGAAAAGAAGAGGTCTGCTTAGACAGGCTGGGGGAGCTGTATGAAAAGACCAAAGAATGAGAATTACAGCAGGACAGCTAAAAAAGCTGCGATAACAGAGCCCACCGTTTCCAGGTGAAGGGGTCGTGCTGGGGAGAAGAGTCATCTCTTCACAAAAAAACCTGCTAGGGTGGTCTGAAAAAGGCCAATCACTTGTTTTTAAAATTTTAAAAACTTTAATGATAATAAAATGTTTATAAAAATAGTAATATAATTAGAATAATAATAATTTGGACAATTTGGATTAGGGCAGTATGAGACAACAGAAACAAAGAGTTATGGACAGTCCAGGTACCTTTTCTGGGCAAAATAAGCCCAAAAAAGGACACCCGTTAACAGAGGATTAACCCTTAAAAACAACAGCCTGTTGCATATTCATACACCTCATACATGATGCATAAATTCCATTCAAACACAGGATTCTGTCTGGTCAGTGTCAACTTTTTCCTCTTAATCCTGATGGTGTCTTCAATCCTGAGCAAAGCAGGAAGAAGTTCGTTTCTTCTGATAACAGGGCAATAAATTCTCTTTCTCTGAAAGATTTAGGTGTCCTGTGGCTGCTACCTGGTGCAGGTCCTTTCTTTAAAAAATGTATCCTACATAGCATAGCTTATATTTTAACATTTTGTATAACCTAAAACTATATTTAACACACTACTTAAGAAAATGAATACAGCATATCTTTCTAACATAACACATATAATATTCATTTTAATATTTGCTAAAAGCCAATCATAAAATATGCATTTTTCACAGGT